GCCGCCGTCAACATTCTCAGGACCTAGGGTGAGCTCCTCACAGGCTCCACGGCACATCCCTCCCTGCACTGCTCGTCCGTCCTGCACGGGCTCTTCGTCTGCATCTTCGAAGCCCATGTTCACCTCGGCTGCAGGTGCCAGCAGGGCTCACACACATTGGAAGCTTCGGGCCTTGTCCAGGAAGAGCTTCACGGNNGCAGAGCGGAGCAGAGCGGAGCAGAGAATGGGAGAGAGTGATCAGGTGTCTACATGCCGCTGGAGATAGCGGAAGCCTGTGGTGCAGTGCCGTCCTGTGGCGGGGGCTAAGTCGTGTCACGGCCACTCGTTAGGGCCACAAGGTTCAAGGCCAAGGCTTTTTTTGGGGTTTGGGAGTCTAGGTTGATAAAGGGGCTTAGCAGACAGATCATGGAGTGCTGCTTTCGAGACCCAATTCCGCCCGTGGCTCCTCGGAAGAGCCCAGAATCCGCACGCTCTGGAGCTTCACCGGCACCCGGAACTGCACCTCAAAAGATCACAAGACACGGTGCCGCGTGCCGCGCGGCGCGTGCCGGCTATACTCGGCTCCGGCTCTCCGGCGGGCCTTGAGCAGGAGCTGATGGTCCACGTTCTCGTCCGAGCTGAGGGCCGTGTCCGGACTTGGGTCCAAGATGTTGAGCACCGGGTGCTCCTGTGGAAGGTACAACAGAGCCGCAATCTGCAAAGTTTGTCTTCCCTCTTCGACGGTAAACCCGGATCCTTGTCTTCGTTGAGGCACTCCAGCTGGCCCTTCTCCACAAACTCGTCCAGGCTCGCCACCACGGCCTCAGCTGGCTCAACCGCACGGAAAAAGGGTCTCGGAGATTTCTGAGACGGGGCGAGAGCCATGGCCGACTCAGGCACAGGGCAGGGCCCAAGGGCCAAGGGCGCGCCGGACTCCGGACTTCCCCGAAAACTGACTCTCAAAGGAGCTGCAGCCAACAAAAAGAACAAGCTCAAACACCCTGACGACGGCACCGGCCCCGAACACGTCCTTTTCGACACACCTTCAAGGCCCTGCCATGCTCCGAGTCTCGCGGGAGTCTAGGAGCGGCCTTTGATCCGAGGCATCCTCTCCCAAAGGCCCAAGCGCGTCACTTCGCCCTCACGAATCTTCACATCGCAGATGCGGAACAATGGGCAGTGAGAGTCGTCCAACCTGAGGAGGTCGCATGTGCACAAATCATCTGAAAATGCCCTGCATTGAGATGAGCAGCCGCATGAACTTTCGCCACATTCGCGAACAAGCCTCACGCATCTTTTCCACATCACCATGGGTGACGTGTTTGCCACACTCGGGGCAATAAGCATTCTGGTGGAACTTCACCATTGGTGCAACTTGCTTGCGAACTTCCGTGGAGAAGAGCCCGGATTGCACCCTCCTTGGTTGGCAAGAATATCAACCGAAAGTGCTGACGTTATCTGGTCGTGGTCCTCAAGTCGAAAAATGCTTGACCCGTTGGTGTGTTGGCTTTGTCTGACACTGCTCTTGGGCATGAACAAACCTTCAGTAGTTACTGAACTTCTGCAAGGTTCAACGGGCTTTTGTGACACAGTAACGGCCTGGTCATCATGGCGTTGCTATCCCCATGGACGCACAAGGCGCAACCGCGACAGTGGCATACCCGCAGCACACTGGCGAATCAATCGCATCATGCAAGACATCAGATGGATGATACTCTGGCCAAGCTTGTCTTTGGCGAAATGAGATGCATCTTGTACAACTGTGAACCCGCTGCCAAATCGTGCGAAACAAAATGGCAAGTAGGATGTGCATGGCTTTTCCTTATGTTCCGTGCAGTTCACCGGAACGCTGCTTTGAAGGATACAAATACAGCTGTTTGTCATACATTCAACCCGAAACCCAAACCATTTTCGAAACCCCAAGCAAATTTCGAACTTTACCACGATTCCCGAATGTTAACCGTCACACAACGCTCCTAAATCAGGATCAACACTTATTTGAGCGGAAAAGGGGTGCTGTGCATAATATTCGCCTCGGCCCCGGTGAAAGCGGGCAGACCGAGGTTTTTTTCTCCCTCGCAGAAGCCTCCCTCCCCTCCTGCCCTCTCTGTTGGGTTTGGCTTCCAACTTCCCAGGACCCCCCCTTCCCCCCCGTCTCCTTTGTTGGCAGTAATTAAGGCTGACTCGTGCTTACAGCGATGACATGACCTCATACTCACAAGTATGTATACACATCATGTTGCCCTCTGGTTCACGTGATTTGCTACGCCAGTTAGGTATGGGTATGTCCCACTTTTTTAACACACCGCTAACGCTTCATTCGTTTGATTCCCTAGGGGGGATATACGCTTTCAACATTTCAATAAGTTTTTGCTCATTTTTGACATCGTTCCCTCGCTCATTCTTCACTAGATTTTCAACAAAAAATACAAATTTTATGATAAAAAATAGCAAGTTTTCCAAAATTTTCATAAAAATGATTTTCCAAAATTTTCATTGTATAAATTTTCATAAAAATGATATTTCAATTTTTCATCATAAAAATTTTAATAAAACATCTTGATAAAAAATTATAGCGCGTGTTTTGCTTTTAAATATGGTTCTAATTCATCTATTCCATCTTGTATTTTTTTGATATATTCATCATCCATAAATGATGTGTTAAATTTCTCTTTCATTTTTGTCATCATCTTTATTTGCTTCATAAATAAATCGTATTTCATTTTACCATATTCAACACACAAATTATCTAGTTCTTTTTCAAAAGGTTGAAATACCTCTTCGTATTTACTTTTACCGATATCCTTTTCTGTTACGATATCCTTCATAAGTTTATACACATATATATTACTATATATTTTTCTTTTTAAAACTTTTAGAACTTTTCAAACTTTGTATATATTATTTTATTTCATATAATTCTATTAATTCTTTTTGTAGCTCAATTTGTTTTTCTAAATATTTCATTTCCTTATCTAAATGTTCCTGTTCTTCTTTTTCTATAACGCATTTTTGTTTTATTTCTTCAATTTTATTTTCCTGCTTTCCTTGATGATTTCTAGCTTTTCTAATTCATGCTTTGCTTGTTTATACAGTATGTCAAACAATTCATCTTGAACCGATTTTATCATATATATAATACTATATATTTTAGTTTTTTAAACTTTTAAATTTTATATATTATCAAAAATATTTCAATAAACTATTTTTTATTGAAAGATTTTTATCCTTTTCGTATTTTTAATAAACATTTTTTCTGTACAATTTTTTTAGTTCTTGTAAATATTGTTTTTTCATATCTTTATCACCAGCAGATCTCACCCAATCATTATATGCACTTCTAAAATTTCTGTAAGTGGTAGCGCTTATTGTTTTTCTATTATTTGCTTCTTCAAATAATTCTCTTAATTTTTGAATACCAATTTTACTAGGAATGATTAATTCAGGTGTTGACTCTTCTTGCTCTTTTGTTGTACCTTCTTTCATGTTTGTTTTGCTAGTTAGGGAAGCTTTTCTTGGAAGATTATACGGCGGTTGTGGCGCTCCACCTTCTTGAAAAATAGGTCGTGATGGTGTTCTTTCTTCATTGCTTCCTGAACCTGATGAACCGCCTTCTTGAAAATTAGGTTGTGGTGGCGCTGGCGATGCTTTTGGCGTTGGTCTGGGTCTTGATTTGCCTCTCGGTTCTGTTGGTCGCTGTGGTCTTGGTAATTCCGTTATTGTAGGTTGGCTCGATGATGCAACTGGTAATGGTTGTTGTGTAGCTCCTACGTTGGGTTGATGTGGTTCTAATATGATAGACGGTTGTAAATATTGCATGTTCGGTATTGGCGTTGGTTCATATGGTCCGTCTCGCGATGTTCCTGTAAAATCTAACAGCGGTCTGGGTGGTGGCACTACCCTTCTCATTAATGTCTCGCGTAATGTCTGCATAGCTTCCTGTGTCATCCCCCAAACCATAGCAGATGAAAAATCCATCCCCGAAGCCAGATTACCAGCTACATTTCCGCC